AAAAAAAAAAAAAAAAAAAAAAAGAAGTGATTACTGTTTGCACTCGGCCGCCAAGTCATATTTGAGGTTGCTGTCAAAGTCTGGATGCTGGAGAACAAACCCAAAGCCAACCATAGACCTTACATAACGTGAGAGAGAAATAAATGTTGTAAGCCACTGAGACTGTGGGGATGTTTATCACACCCCAGCTCCCTTACTCTATCTTACCTCCTCAAACAAATACAGGTTTTTAAAATAAGTCAAAAAGGTGTTGCTTAAATTGCCAACTTGTAGAATGGGAGCAGGAAGGTGAAGAAAGCTCTGTGCCTTCAAAACGCTCAGAGCCTTTGGAAAGAAGTGCACATGACAAATTGACTAAACACAAGACTGAGAGTCCTGTGTGCCAGAGAGTGTAAAAATGGAGTTAGGAGGAGAGAAGCAAAAGAATCTGGTGGAAGGATCGGAGGTTACTCATGGGAGGGATCATATTTAAAGGGGGCCTTGAAGCAAGGCAAGCTCTGACATCTGAGGAACAAGGACAAGAATACAAATAGAAACTCCTGGCCCATCCCGATCTTTATTTTTTTTCCTACCCCCTTAGCGCAGTCCTGTTCTCTCAAGGCCCTATGTTTTTCTTTTTTTTTCTTTTTTTTTTTCCCCGGTACCGGGAATCGTACTCACCACCTTGCGCTTGCCAGGCAGGTGCTGTGCTGCTGAGCTAAATCCCCAGCCCCTCAAGGGCCTATGTACGTGATATAAACTCTCACCTACACAGGCCTAAAGAAGCGCCCTGGGATGTTCCCAGAAATGGGCTCAGGGACATTAGAACAGAAATTCAGGGATTCCAGATACTCAGAGTGTGGTCTAGAAGGCGGGATGTGGTCACAGGATGGGCACTGGAGAAGCCAGAGCGGGTCTATCTAAAGCACAGCACCCAGGTGCCTGCGCTCCTGGGTAGCTGGGTGGTAAAGGTGGGGTAGAGGTGAACAGGAAGACAGTTGTGTTCTTTGAACATGATAATATACGTTGTTTGACAGTTGTGTTCTTTGAAATAATACACTTAGTTATAGGTTGCAAGACCCTTTCTGGCAGCAGTGTGGAGGATGGGCTGGGGGATGGACTGGATGGAATTAGCTGGCCAACCTATGCTAGAAACATAACAATATTTGCCATAATGTCTCTGATTTACTCTTTTTGCTGCCCCTCTGTTCTTTTTGTGTGCAGGGGCAGAGAATCACTGCCTCATGGCACCTGGGCTTTTTCCACCCTGCTCTATTACATGGTGATTCTGATAGAGCCCAGGCTTGATTTTAAACCAAGAACTTTCATTTTAGCTGAAGGGTTTTGTGAGGTGATGTATTTTCTCAGTGATGTATTTTCCAGTTGTGAAAGAGAACTGTAGCAACTGGTATTAAGACTGAAAATGCATGAGGCTAAATGGCACAGTTAAGTATAAAATAAAATGAGTGCAAGTGGACACAGACTGAGGACTAGCACTGCGGAGAGAGGAGCACAGTTGTGTTGGCATGGTTCTAACCAACGTTGATTTTCCTCTGGAAACCTTAACTGTTATTGCTGGCTTTATAGTTTTAGACACCATTTGGTGTGCCGTTCCAGGAGCAGTGACCTTCAGAGTGATAGGCGTGCTCCCAGCCCAGTCTCCCAGCATGGAAAGTTTAGGGGCTGGGACCTGCAGGGGAAGAGGTTGAAGTAGGAATTTACATAATCCGATTATTGGGGGATTAGGTTTGGGCAGCTAAACGCCTCTATGTGCTTGAGCTAAAACCCTTACTATTCATGGCTCTCTCCACCCCCTGGAGAGACTGCACCTGCAAGCTCCTGGGAGGGCACAGGGGGCTGGGAAGGGACGGGTGGACACTAGGAGAGGCTAGGAGAGGCTGGGCGCTGTCAGGCTCTGGTTCTGTTGCTTTAATTGATCTGTCTGGATTAGCCTGTGAATGCTGGCCCTCTAGTGCTCTATGCAGGAGTTTCTCTTCAGGAAAGACCGGACCTAGGGATTTCTGCCAGCACCAGTGGGTGTGTGGATCAAGGTCATTTTGGCCAGAGGTTAAGTATCAGCCTTGGTCAACCTTAAAACTCCTCCCCACATTCGCAGTTCTTAACCCCTTTCTCAGTCTTCAGTTCTGTGTATCAGGTCCAAGTGCATCCACAAAGCTCCCCATTTTCCAGTTATCCATCCACCTGTGGTACATGTGTCTCTCGGTGTGTCCATCATGTGAGTTAGCTGGTTCCTTCTGTTTAATACAGTTTATAAGAATACTCTTCTAGGTAAATACCGTTCCTTCATGTCCTTTGGTACTTTGATAGATAAATTTTGACAATTTCAGATTCATTAATAGTGTTGCACGCAGTTATTAAATCTTTTAAAATCTCTATTGGTGTTATCCATTTTCTATGCCTCACATTATATATTTATGATCTCTCTCTCTCTTGCTTTCTCTCTCCTTCTCTCTGGATCTTCTTAATTAGCTTTGTGAAAGTTTTTCCATTTTATTTTTCTGTCAAAAATTGGTTCTGGGATTCATTTATTACTTTTATGATTTTCTAATGCAGTAATTTCTACTATAACTTTATTCATTCTGTTCTCTATATTGCCTGTGTTTATTTTGATCCCTTTCTACCCCCTGTTCTTAGATTGGATTTACTTATTTTTTTTAATTTCTTGCTTAGTAAGAAAAACATCCCCAGGTATGAACTTCTTTCTGATAGCACCTTTGGCAACATCCTGTGTTTCCATTTGCTGTATTACTGCCATTAGTTTGTTTGTTTTTCCCCCGGTACCGGGAATCAAACTCACGACCTTGCACTTGCCAGGCAGGCGCTGTGCCACTGAGCTAAATCCCCAGCCCATATTTATTTCTTAAAGAGAGGATATTATGGCTGCTGTAGCAAGGTGAGCGGGAAGGAATGTGGAAGGGAACTAGACAGGAGACACGACAGGAGGGCGGGCCAGAAGGAATGACGGCTTGACTAAGCAGAAGTGAGTAGCCCTGAGCATCAGCTTTCAGAAAACTAATTCTCTACCCTCATTAACAACCCTGCCTTTAATGCATGCTAGGCACTTCATGCAAGTTTTCTCATGTAATATGAGAAATAATATACATTAGTTAAAAAGTTACACAATAAGTTATCGTTGCAGACAGACAACGTAAGTATCTCAAACAAGCTAAGTACTAAAAATATACCTACAGAAACAAGGTTGTGGCATATAGCCGACTCGGTCTTCCTAGTGGTTGTTAGGGCACTAGAACCGACAGACCTGAAAATCCTAGGATTCTAATGCTGCCCACTCAGAGGGCCATAGGGCCACTTAGTGCTTAGCAAGCATCTGCCTCCCAGGGCTCTTCTCATCTCTCCCATCCCACACCACCCAAATAAGAAAATTACCAAGCAAGCAGCTGCAGATGGAAGCAGGCGACACAGGACACGCGGGCACCTAGAAGGAGAAATACGGTACAGTGATATGGCCCACGTCTTTGCCTGAGCAGTGGGTGGGAAGCCAAGGGGTGAAGGCTTTGGCCCCCCTCCTATGGAAAGGAAGACCTGGTTGTTTTGTCACCTTTCAGACTTCCTCAACCTCATTCTCTAGTCAGGACAGAGAGATGCCAGACTGTGCGGTCCAGTCTCTGATATACTTGTACACTGATTTTATGGCCTTGGATAGGTAGTAGTATCCTTCTGAGTTCGTTTCCTGTAATATCTAATAACTATTTCTTTGCTGTGGGTTAAGTGAGATATTAAGAACTCCCCAGATGGGAGCAGTTTAGTGTGGTAGTTGGCCACCCCTTGGCTTCCCACCCACTGCTCAGGCAAAGACGTGGGCCATATCACTGTACCGTATTTCTC